ATGCAACTTGCCACCATGCAGGAGAAGAGCAAAACAAGCTTTGAACGAGTCTGCTCAGGAAGTGCTTAGATATACAGTGAACCACCAACAAGAATGGATAAGGGATGAAATAAAGAATGTGGTAAGAAATTATGGAAATGAACAGATAAAAACCCCTATTGAAGGCTTAAGGGATTAACACAATTCATCAATCATACAACCTTCATCACTTTTGGCGATTTGCGTGCGATACAAACGCATCAGAAGACCCTAACCTAATCTTTTTTTGAGTGCTTTTGGCGAATCGCCGAATTCGATTTTCATCCCAGAGCTCACCTATGGTTAAGAGTTGTGGGCCATGATTGAAAAACTTCAATCCCTGGTACAACTGGCTAAACTGGGCTTTCTGAGACGAATCTCTGTGCTGCGCATCTCGACATGATCCGGAGTAAAGATATCCGAGAGATTTTTTGGTGTACAGCCGCTACTTCTCCAAAGCGAGAAGCAACAGTCGCGATGGTATGGGCAAGTTTTGCGAATGCTCTGAGAATAGTCTGCAAAACAGTAACCGCTTTCTCAACCGACCGGTCGAAGAACCCGGAGTCGACTAAAAATGACCTGGAATAGGTGTCGTGATAAATCTCTCCCAACTCTCTTCTGCTCCCTACACGGGCTGTCTTCGGCTGAAGCTCAAAAGCTGGCACAAGATCGGAAACGTTGTCTGACGCTGCTGACTACGCAACTCGGAAAGATAACTGGCCATAAAAATTGACTGGTTGTTCGACAGCCCATCGGTACGCAAACTATGTCAGCAATAAGGAAGGAATATGCAAAGGCCAGTAGACGTGCTAAGAAAAAATGTCAACAATGCCAAGAAAGAGCTGTCTTTATGAACTAATGGAAGGCACGTCCTGGTTATGTTAAGCATTTGGAAATGGCTTTCTTAATTTTAGACGCGAAACAAAACGCTTCCATTAGATAGCAAGATTGCCAGCTGGCAGTTAGTCTTCAATTTCTCGACATTAGAAATTAGCAGTATTTCGCCAACTGTTCAGCGTAGATATTCAACAAAACAGGACAAGAAATCACGGTGTTTGAATCAACATTGGTCAACTGCAATCGCCATCACTTTCAGATGCGCATCCACTTTTTCATACAGGCAGCTTTTGACCAGGCCAGGGCAAATATGCTGCTCTAAGAAAGCAATAGCGAGGCTTGATGCGTATAAGAAGCTGGCTTCTACATAATGGGTTATGCTAAAAAACATTTCTGTGATGCTGACCACCCTTTGATCCTCCGTCATTTAACAGCCGTGTATGGTAGCCCCGGATATTACGCATTTGCGTGGCCGCCGCCAATCTTATCTGTATGGTGCTTCTGGTTCTGTTTCAACTGAAAAGTATCGTTGTTTGAAAGTCCTGTTTAGGCAGTAAAGTTTTATCCATTCGTGAAAATGAACAAAATGCAACGATTTATCTTGTTAATCAAAAAACGCTATGACGTGAACATAAACAAAAATAACGGTTGAATGGGTGCTTAACCAGTTCTATAAACCTTTATACGTTGATCACTAAATCTCCAACACTGCGCAGTAAGCTGAATGAGGTTGGATGGCATGTTGAATACGGATGTTCTACATTATAACTTCATAGGCAGAGTATAGTGCGAAGTTTCGCCCAATTTTCAAACCTGATAATGTTGTAATCGAAAATAAGATGTCAAAAAACCGTTTTTTCGTACCGTTTTAAGTAGAGAGCAGAAGTTTGAACATTTTCAGCATTGAGAAACTTTTCATGCGGCATTCCATCGCAACGGAAGCATTTAGTAGTCGACTCTGGTTCTAAAATACGCCTCTTAAGTTTAATCTGAAAACAATTAAATTTAAATCGTAGTCCAGTGAAAAGAAAGACTGATCAAAAACCTTTCACTGCTCAATATAACGGCAGTTACATGCAGAACTAAGACAATCTAGCTTTTGTAAAGTCATAAAAACCAATTGTGTAATAATTAAAAAGGTAAATTTAAAGCACGATAGTAAGAGAAAAAGTTTCACGCATACAATCTTACGTATTAGCGACCGAACGCTGCATGTAGAACAGAATGACAAGATTGCTTCGATCGGATTCAACGTCCAAGTCATCTGCGGGTTTCTGCATGCTTCATTTCTCGAATATATTCATACATGTATGTGACCTGCTATTTCATAAAAGTGCACGGCTCATAACTGACGATACCCATACCATTATTATAAATTCGAAAAACCTTATTTTAAAAGTGCTGTCCATTTTACGAACTGCTCTTAGTCCATTAACGTGTACATTAATTTTTAAACTTTTAGAACTTTCAAAGACTTCTGAGTCAATATAATGCATCGAAGTATCTAATGAGGCCTCAGAAACGACTTTAATGACAAACATAGTCGTTTCATAGCCGTGAAGCTCTACATCACAAAGTTAAAAACTATCACAACGACCTCCCAGTGGAAGGAAATGAATTTTATGATGGTCTGAAGTCTGAACATGGGTAGAAAACAGAAAAACGAACAATCGTTCCTGCGCGTATAACAAAAGTGCTTCAAATAAAGAGTTATTCCAATCTCTTGAAAAATTACGCGAGTAAGAATTAAAAAGTTGATTTAAATCTGGCAAGGTTTAGCTTACTGATACTACAGAAAGTATCAGCATCCTTTCAACAATGTCACGTTTGACTCGTAAACAAAAAAATAAGTGAGAAAGCAAGCAGATGCATAAAACAATGAAGGCAAATTGCTCGAAACAAAAACGGTCACAGTTAGGCTGGCCAGAATTAAAGAACGTAGATTTTTCTACTTCTGATTCCAGCTGATGAATTGACAATGTCAAAAAAGACGAGATGACAGAACAGAGGAAAATGATAAACGAGCTGTCACTAAGACGCGGTAACTTTCTAACAACCAGACAGAAATATGCTTATAGGAATCCAGATAAGGGTAGCGACAAGCTGCCAGCAGACCAGTCATCAAATATAAATAACACGTTAACCTTATGCAATTTAACAGTTACGCAGAAAAACCTTCTAGCTATAAAATATATTTACAATTCATTACAAAAATCGGCGCGGTCCTGGCAAACCAATCATTATAATAGATTCATTACTTTTAATTTAACGGAAAAATTCTCTGTATTAAATACGGACCAAAATATGAGTTCAGAGATAAACAACCAAGTTATACATATAGCCCATAATATACAACGCGTTCCACTATCAAGCACTGTCACTCCAAGAAAAGGCTGTAACGTTGTGGCTCACCTAAAATATCACCGCCATCCATATTGCTGGTATGCGAACAGAATACCGGTGAATTTGAAGCTCTCTGCATTGTCAACCGATAGTCACCTGAAATCCTATTATCCACCGCTCAAGCACTTACATCCAGTTGGCTTGACCATTTATTCTAGCCATTAAGAAGCTGAGTCGCAACACTCACTAGTCAATTTCAAAACAATGATACCTGCGAATCATATTTCGTTAAAACGCTTCGTTGGATGGTCCTCGTGGTTCTTGCGAGTCCGCTCCATTAATATTTTATTAGAAGAACTACCAGCATTTGCGAATCATACTTGATTTTTGTCCGAGTACCATCATCTAATAAAATTGTCAAAAGTCAAGTCGTCCAGGTTAGATTTATAACCACATGGAAAGCCTACTAATTATTGTTGGCGACTACTCATTAAAAGCCGACTTCAAGATGTGTTAACGCCATGAAACAAAATATTTCCATATTACAGCGCTCAGAACATCGATCCGCATAATGATCGCCATATCTTGCTTATCATCACTCGTGAATGCTACTCAATGATACTGAAACTTGTCTACCTGCTCGATTTGCGCGATATTCACCTATAGGACACAATGAATATATATTCTGAGAATGCAAAAATTTTAGTTTTCGCTAGACTGATGTTCATCACCCACATCCACCATTACATAGAATGTAGCAGCGAAGCGATCAAAACTCTGACATGACTTCGAAAACTCGCATCCACGAACAATTCAAAAATGTGGATTGGAAGATGAGCAGGATCCGCAGCTCAGGAAGAACGACAACAAGCAGAGAAAGCTTGCGATTCCGCTCTATCTCGATTATTCCGCCCAAAAAGAACTTAGGTTCACTCTCATTATCATCGTCATACATGGCCGCTTTACCGTTCGGGTGGCGCAGTCACACGCGTCAGACGGTACTTACAACGGTCCCGATTTTAAACCAGAGACTGAGCTTCGGCAGAAGACACTGGAGCCTGGACTAAAATCCTTCCACATATTTGCACCAGGCTAATCTTCGCCGTCCGTTCGAGAGTTTAGCCCGTCGGTTGTACAAGAAACAATTGCTTCGTCTTCCTTTCTGGTGACATTTGTAAAACATGTCCAAACCATAGTGGCGGGGACTTCTCAGTTTGAAGAAGCAACAGCTGTACACCAAGGCTCTCGCTCACTTCTCTACTACGGACTATATCGAGACGAATAAAGCCAACGACTCGACTCACAAAACTCAACTCAGCCGCTGGTATCCAGTATCGGAGATTTTCAGTCATAATCCATAACTCATCACCGTAGGTAAACTCGGGGATGAAAATCAACTTTAACACCGATACCTTAGTCTGGAGACTCAGCTCTTCTTAACTCACAAGGCTGCGAGATACTTCAAGCGGAACGCAGCTGGCTACTCCGTTGACTCCTTCCTCAAATTTCTTATCACCGATAATCACGACCCTGAGGTACTTGAATTTTTCCGCCCGCTCCACTGCTTCTCCTCCTTTCGGAAGAGAGCAACGGCCAGGAGAACGAGAAAGCATAAGACTTTTCGTTTTAGATACGTTCACACGCATGCTGGCAACGTCGAATTCGGCTGCGAACCATTCCAGAGGGTGCTGCAGATTAGTTTCAGGTGATAACAGGAAAACAAAATCATCGGAAAACAGTGTCTTTTCCCCCTCGACACTTCCTACACTGACACACTCACCGCCCTGACAGCCTGACGTTCTATTGAAACAGAACGCGGTCAAAGCACAGCTTTCATTGAGACCAGTGTCACAGCTGAAAGGTTTCGAATTAACTCCATTTACTCTGACGAAGCTCCTATTATCACCATATACTGATTGGATAGCCCGTAGCAACTGATCATCAATCACATATGTTGGCACGCAATTCATGTACAGTTGCGCCGAATCCACTAGTAGGCTTTCTACGGTTCAACAAAGCAAGTGTACAATGCATGGGCGAACTTCCACGATTTTTTAGCAATCTCGTGTAGAGAGAACATCTGATCAGACATGCGCCGGCCACGCCGGATGCCACAGTAATTTTCTTGTATCTCATAATCAGTTATTCTGCAGCGCTTCCTTTCTAGCACATTTGCGTATACTTCACCCAAGAGGCTTAATAATATAATTTCTTAATAATTGGAACACTCCCTGCAGTTCGCTGGTAT